CACTACCTACTAAGAACAAACAAACTAACTTACGTATANAACAACAACAACACACACACACACACAACGAAGTAGTACACGTACGTGCACACACACACTACTATATATATATATATATATATATATATATATAATGCTAGGGTAAGCCCACTAACTCACAGGAAAAAATGAGCCCAATGGCCCAGATTGAATCTAGGCCAATCTGACGATCACGAATGTCCGGTAGTATTTGAATTTTAATTTTTTTTCTACAAATCCAAATCACTTGAAATTTGGAGGATGTGTACATCAAAAATAGGTGAATCTTCGAAAAATATCAAAAACTATTTTACATTAAATAATTTTACCAAAATACCCTCGAAAAGTTTCAGGGGTATTTTGGTCAATGTGTTTTTTGTGAATTATTTTTTTTATATTTTTATTAGGTGTGGCTTGATGAGAATAATACACGCCTAAAATTTCAAGTGATTTGGATTTGTAGAAAATAAATTAAAATTCAAATACTACATTGATCCATATTCAATCTAGGCCATTGGGCTTATACTATTCCATGAGCTAGTGGGCTTACCCAAGCTATACATATATATATATTCAAAATTACACCATTAATCCAATGGAAAATGTTATGGCAATATCCTTACCCTAAATGCACAACTTTCATACTGTGAGTGGCCCAAAAAGGATCCAATAGCCTCCAAAAAACTTTCCTACAACTGATTTTGACCTTGAGCTTCAGAAAGCTCGAAAGCCTCAAGATCCAACATCTATCAAATGGATGGCTCAGATTTGATCTTGGAGGAATTGGATTCCTAGAATCTTTTTTTTTTTTGGAGCAAAGGGATCTTGGAGAGTGGAGGAGACTGACTTTGGATCCTTTGTTGGTCACCCACCCAACCAAAAGGAGTGGATTTGGGGGAGAGACCATGACTACAGAATCAGCCCTTGGGACCATCAACTTTTCGTCCTATATGAGTGCACTCATGCATGTGTCTGTGTCTGTAGATTAGCCAATTGATTCAAAGTAATAAACGCACTGTATCAACAGGAATAGAGAATCCAACACCAGAAGATGCTCCTGAAGGTGAGTATATAGCAGTGTTTATTCCAATCAAACTTCCTGAGCTATCAAGGAGAGGTCCCCCACTATTCCCAGGGTTGATTGCTGCATCAGTCTGTATAACATCCTGTATAGGACGCCCTGTTGCGGCTGAACTTATTTCTCTTCGAAGTCCACTGGGAAGGAACAAGAAGAAGAAAAACCTCAATATGACTGAAATTAGTGTCAAGAATATTGCTTTGGTAATTTGGTATCAACCATATCAGTTTAAATCACAAAAGGCCTTTATTATCTAAATTGACAAATGAATAGGAATAACAACTGTACAGGACATAATATTTCTATGAAAAATTATGTAACCCCGAGCTAGAACAGATCGTGCTGTCTAAGTAATATTTAGCACGCCATTCTAAATTAAAATTTGCAGCTATGAAACATAGACACATGTGTCCGGGGATCTGATCATGTGTCCACACTTATTGGACATGGATGCACGTGTCGACACTCTTGGACACGTATACGATACTCTATTAAGTATCCACTTAGGGGTCTCTTTTTTAGACATTTGATTTTTTAAGTTATGTTTTTTTTTTTTTGGGTAATTAAAGTGGCGAGTCAGTGGAGAATTGGGCCCCTACCGTTTGGTGAGAATGGAGTCAAAGACCTCACCATGGGGCTCAGCAATGCTTACCGCCAAAGCCCGAAGCCATTCTCAAAAAAACGTGGTAAGTCAATGAGGATTTGGGGCCCTACCCTTTGGTGAGAATGGAGTCAGAGACCTCACTATGGGGCTTAGCAATGCTACCGCCATTTAAGAATTTTTTGAAACTTCATTCTTCATTTAAAAATATTTTATTTTAAAAATATAAATTATTTTAGAATATAATAAGTAGTTTAGAATAAACAATAAAAACATTTTTATTTATCAAATTAGGGTTTCCATAAATGATTGTTACTATAAGTAAAAAATACAGATTTACTTTGACTACCATAAAACTTTCTAGGGTTTTTCCCTCCCCAATTGGTTTCTTCCTCTCCAAGCCGTAGACCACCCTTTCCAAATCCCGTGGACCACATTTTTATCCTTCTCCAAGCTGTGGACCACTGGATATTCATCTCTCTTCTTCAACTTTTCTCTCAACCCTTTTTGTTGCTTGTCATATAAAATATTTATTATTCCCTGATCTTTTTTGCCATTAATAGCGTGAATTGTATTGTACATTCTGTTGCCCTAGCAATTGACTTTTGCTAGCTTTGAGAGCTTGTACTAGTATTTTGATATTATTTAAATTTTATTGTACTTTTTTTTCCATATTATTATGCTGCGACCTTGGAGGTCTAGAAGAAATTTTGATGAATAAAATTTAGATTCACGAAGTGACCTTTTTTGGACAATTAATTTTATTTTTTTATTTTTAGAATCTTTACTATTGTTGTATGACATGAATTATTCTATGTATAAATGCATATGTGAACTACAAATAGATTTTAATGTGTATATATGAATGTACGCATATATTTTAATGCTTGTAGAGTGTACGAACGTGTTGTGTCTAGAAGTTATTTTTTAGGATTCACGTTTCTGACACTCGTATCTATGTCATAAATAGACAAGTGTGTCCGTGCCTATGTAACATAGATTTGTAGTAATGATTAAAGTCTTTTTCCTGTTTTTTTTTTTTGAAGGGGGGAAAGAGAGAATTATTTGAAAGTATAGATTAAAAATGGCATTGCATAAAATAACTCCAATGAGCAATTGAGATCTATCATCCTTCCGTAACTTTCTGCTGCAAATCTTGGTCTTCCGGGACCACGATTCTCCTGGATTTTTCCTATAGTCCATTTCATGTTCTTTCTTTCCCCAAAATTTCAAGCAATATCTGTCCAAGCAACTAATCCAATACAAACTATATCGATAAAAAGGGGAAGAATTTCAAGTATCATAATTTTCTACACTTAATTAATGCCATATGCTATCCTTTCGTGATAGGATCATTCAAATTCATTGCTTATGAGAGGAATAAAAGTGGTGTGCATAAAAATGGACTCCTACAGAATAACTGGTCTCTCACTTGTGTAGTAGATATGAGAAACAATTGCCACAATAAGATCTCTGTATCTATTTCTGAATAGAAAACTACACATTACTCTGGTCAGCTATAGATTTTTTCCTTTTTTTTAAATATTTTTTTTGAGAATGTCAGCCAGAGATAATTTGCCTCACCTGATAACTCCCGTTGTAAGTGTATGGTCAAGGCCAAACTGAAAGAACATGCATTTAAAAAGCATCAGTGTGTCTGTTTCAAATACTCCAAATATTCAATCATCATGAATAATTTCTTATTTTGGATAACTAATCAGCACATAAAAAGCAAGTTTGAATAGTAGCTCAAACCAGCTATATAAAAATTAGAGACCTAAAGATAGCTACTGAAAGGATATTAATTTGATAAAAGATTTAGGGATTAAAAGAACTAATCAGAAGTACACTAGTTCACCTTTTGACATGCCCTAAGATCAATAAGTCGAGATAACTCACCGGATTCCCAATGGCATATACTTTCTGACCAACAAGTAAATCAGCAGAAACACCAACAGGTATTGGTCTGAGTTTATCCTTAGGGGCATCAACTCGCAATACAGCAACATCTTTGTCTTGATCAAACCCCACAACTCTTGCCTCATATGTGCTCTGATCAGCAAGAGTGACCCTTGATATATTGATCGAGTGGAAAGTATGAGTTTAAAAACTTCCATGTTATAATAGTTAACTTCCCTCAAAAAAAAAAAAATTCTATGTTATAAGAACACATACATAGAGGGGAGAAGTTTAAGAGGGGACCAGAAATCAACGGATTATTTCCTATTGTATATATATTTTAGGAGAATATCCCATGTGAAAGTATAACATAATCCAAGGATGTAAGATATATGACACATGAAGGCTATAGGCACCGTCTGGCCCCGTTGTATGATGGTAGAAGATTAATAGGAGTTGGGTCGACAAGGTATTGTTAATCTCCAACTATACATCAGTAGGAACAGAAGGTGGATGTCACCTGAGTATCACAGAATAATTTTAGCTGTTAAGAGAGACTGGCAGAGGAATGTGAGGAAGAGATATCAAAGTAGTTCCATGAAGTCTCAGTAAGGAAATCAACCCACATTATCAAAAACTAAGAAGTTACATGCACACAAACATGAATGCAATCTTAGGTATAGTCAGGAAAATTGACAGGAAAGGATTCTTATGGGAGTCAGAAATAAAGCATGGTATTGATTTATATTGGATCCCAAAATAGAGAAAGTCTCATACCATAAACTTATTGAGCTAATAAACCAAGCAGAAACGCAATGAACCAAGCAGACCTAATAGAATTAAGGGCAATAGATTATTGATCAAACTTTCAGTAACCAAACAACCCACACAAGTAATAATTTTATCATTTTGAGATCCTTAATAAGAAAGAAAATTTAGTTGAGGATTAATCAAGTTAAATGATTTATATAAATTGGGAAGAAGAATACAACGAAACCATTTATCGTTAGTACAAGAAGGTTACAACCACCCTTAGTCATCATATATGAAATCAAGTGGTTGGGGGTGTTCCATTGACCATATTCAAAGTCTCTCAAACTTTGTGACTTACCCCTAGCCACCCGATTTCAAGCAATGGTAACATTTCTGTACCAGAGGTAGATGGTCTTACAGTATACATAAATTATAAACCTATCTGCTCTTCTGCAGATGCTGTGGAATTAGAAATCCAAAAAAAATAGTAAATCAGCTCAAACCTCAGATCAGAAGCGCCTCGAATTACATGATAATTTGTGACAATATGACCATCCTTGTCCCACACAAACCCTGATCCAGAACCTTGGGGAACCTCCAATACATCCAGAGTGAATGCATCTTGCCTGCATATTGCACATACCAACAGCTAAAAACCACGCCAAAACAAATCACAAAGGGACAAAAAGCACAGAAATTGTCAAAGAAAATTTTGAGCGAAAAGCAACTAAAAATGTCATTTTCTAACTCACCCAAAGAGCAAATAAACAAACAAATAATTCATGATGTTGGAATTGGTGGCTATTTTGTTCTTGGGGAGGTATGCAAGATTGGTGACTTTGGAAACTTATTTCCTTTGGAATTATTTGTGGGATTTGGAAGGATATGGCCTACCGAATAGTTAGAGGGGAGAAGAAGTCTACGAAGTATTAATGAAAGTGCTCACAGATTGATCATTCTCGGGGTCTATCTTCCAAGGAAATTATAGGGCAGAATCATTTCAATGTTCAAAAAAGTGTCATCACGTCAGATATTTGCCTCCAGGTTTGTTTATGTGCACTTGGTCAAGAGAGGGTGATACAGTGAAACATCGAAATATTTTTAAATGCATCAGTTGTACATAACAGTGTAAAGACCAATACATCAGATTTCAAATTTTATAACCATTATAGATCAGTTAAATCAGTTATCTTTGTAAATATTTTGCAACATAGTCACTAAAATCCTTTATTAAAAATGTTCAACAAACAGAAAATATCACACCAGTTTTGTTCTCCCAATTTCCAATCCAATATATTGGCCAATGCCATAATATATTTTATTGGTCTCTCCACTCTATCAGTATTTAACTCTTAAAACTGACTATTATACAGTACCCTTGGTTGAAAACATCAATCACCTGGTTATGTATAAAGTTAGATTCAGGCCCTCCATGTTTCTATGAAGCCTGACCTGCATTCGCTTTAACACATCATATGTTAGTGTGGATTGCAGTCCGGGCTCGTATATCCACAGCAAAGGTTTCTGAAGTACACAATTCTTGGTGTTGGCACTGCACAGAGAACATCACTTGCAGTAGTTCAGAGAAATATTCTCCTTTTCATACTCTCGGCAAGTCAGTTCACACTAGCGAGTCAGAAAGATAGGCCAGGTCAGCTGCGGCTTCCAGGATGGGGACAAAATTGGTTTTGAGATCAGAGAGAGGAAGAAGGCTTTAGAGGAAAAGTCCCTCTTGTGCCCATAATAGGGAAAGGGGAACACATCCCTGCCCTGAAGGTCCCTTTCTAGGCGGCCAACTAGCTCTGTCACTTGAACGCCACTCTTTGCCAAGCAAGGCCCTTGTTTGTGGGCAGAGCAAGATTGATTTCTTACTTACATACTAGACTACCGCATATCGTTCCTCCGCGCTTTGCCTTGGTGTCTAGCTCGACTGCTTTGTTTGGTTTTCAGCCGCCACGAGCTAGATTTGAACCAACTGATAACCTTTCTTGAACATAGATTTGATCTCATGTGTAGTTAGCCACAGATTGCTTATGCTAGCTCGATTATATGGAAGATGTGGTGTCCTGGATTTGACCAGTCAACAGTTTTTTAGGGGTCCCTTAGGCCAGGCAGAAATTTGCGCATTGTAAGAGATACCTCAGAGATTGCACTCATGTTCTTCTCGGGCCCTTTGGAGATCCCTAATTAGTCAATGGAGAAGAGAAAGCCTTTAATGAGAAAGTAAGAATTGCTATAAACCATCCTTGAATCCCCGTAGTTACATAAGGTGATTGCCTCAATGCAATCCAGTAGCCCAATTAGTAGGTAGACGCCCCCTAGAGAGGTAGAGATATTGTTGAGGAAGTTATAAAGTTACAATAGGTCCCTTTGTGCCATCTCCCTCAAAATGCTGATGAGAAGGCGGATGCTTTAGCAAAAGGAGTGGAATGTTTAGTTGAAATCTAATGTAATGCATTCTCTATCCATCAATAGAGTCTTTACCCATCCAAGGAGGCTGGATCAGACTTTTGAAGAGACATATTTGATAAACATGTCACTTAATTTCACTTTTCATCATACTTGGCAAGAGGATAATAGCACTTCAGATCTCTTGGCTAAACAGGGGCTCTCAACATGACTCTAGTTCTCAATTACCTTGAAGTGTGAAACTATTTTGCAATTTTTGCTCCCCTCTGGCTGCTTAGTCATTTTGCAAGACTGCACAATGTCATTTTTTACGAAGGCTTTGTCCAATTCTGTAGAATATACCCATCTCCGCCTTGGCTGGTCCCCCTACCGGTCCCTAGCCCAAGTCAAGGGAGACAGTTGTGTTAGGTAGGCAGCCAGCGTAAAACTTTGCCGCAACTTACCATCAATCTTGAATCTACATTATAGCCGACCCCAAATAGTTGAGATAAGGCTCTAATGATGATAATGATCACTTTTAAGTACCCATTTAATACAGATACTTTTCTTGCCAAAAGAAAAGGCGGGATTGGAATGTTTAGAGGCACCTATTGTTTGTACATTCCAGAGATGGCATCTTCACATCTCTCTTGGCCTTTGGTTCTTTCTAATTTGGGCGGATGAATGGTGAGATTCAATCCTAGGACATACTGTTGCAACCAATGGTTTAAAAAACGGATCGGTGCCCCAGATCGGGCACCCCAAAAATCCATCCAAATCGGTGAATCGGTGATCCGGATCGGGAATCGACCGAATCGGTTGGATTAAGCTTTAAAAAAAATCTAAAAAAATTATTAAAATTTATTATAAATGTTGTTTTTTAGGAATCCAATAAGAAATCGGGGTACTACATTATTAATTTTCATTTTTTCATCAATATGTAAATATTGAGATGTTTTTTCCTATATGAATTTATTTTAACCATTAAATTTACATCACACAAAAGAAAAATCATAGAATTATCATGGATGAAGTATATAATCATACATGGACTACAATAAAGAATGGTTTAAATCGATGAAAAATAGCCACCAAAATCTCGAATTGGTGGAGAACATTATATACTGAAATTAAAATTGTTGTTTTACATTTTATAATTATTTTATTATACAAATAATAATAAATCCAACCTTTTATTTTTTTGACAAGAAATACTTGATGTATTACCTTTGATCCTGTTTTGACAAAAACCTTTTATTTCTTTTGACGATAACCTTTTATAATTTTATTTATTTATTTACAAGAAATGCTGGTCGTATTACCCTTTTTTTTAACAAGAACTTTTTTTTGTTACAAGAAATACTTGTTGTATTACCTTTTTTATTTTTTTTTGATAAGAAAATTTTATTTTTTTTACAATAAACTTTTATTTTTTGACTAGAAAAAGAAATATTGTTGTATTACCTTTTTTTTTTTCTTTTTTTTTCTTTTTTTTTTCTTTTTCTTTTTTTTTTTTTAATAGGAACCTTATATCTTTTTTTACAAGAAACTTTTATACATCTATTTTTTTTTTTTACAACAAAAAGAAATTTTGTTGTATCACTTCTTCTTCTTCTTTTTTTATAAGAACCATATTTTTTTTTTTTATGAGAAAAATATTTTTTTTTTTACAAAGAACTTTTATTTTTTGTAAAAATAAATTATTTTGTAAAAAAAAACTTTTATTTGTTTGTGAGGAGGGAAGGATGTGGGAACTTGCCCAAAAGTTGATCCCGCGACGTCCAAAGGAAAAAGCGGATGCTAACCACCACATTACAAGTTGATTTCTGATATTAGTAGGCCGACTTAAAGATTATATTATATCCCCTTTTCAGCTATTACCTTTCACCACAATTATCCCACATCGAACCCACAGTAGAAAACTGACGAGAATAAATACTACTCTGCTATCAACGCCTTTCGTGTGCGAAACGCAAGGAGGAGTGTCAGACTTGTGACGAGGGATACGTGGCGTTTAACCGTAATTACCAATTTTTGTACGATTTCTGATGTCACAAAACCAGGCGAATCGGGCGAGTCATGATGTCATCGGGAGATTATATGTATAGAATCGCCGGTTTTGCTCTAGAACCGGCCGATTCTCCACTTTACAAAGGAATCGACACAGGATGTCCGATTCCCAGTTCGAATCAGCCGATTCTATGCCAAGTCGGCGACTTTTAAATCACTGGTTGCACCTGTCAGCATTGTAACCAATCAAGCCAGTGCCTGAATCCCCCCTCTTTTGGTTCTTTCTAGTTTATATGGTTGTATCATACAATCACTGTGTCAATTAAGTGTCACTCTCCCTAAAAAAATAAATGGGGAATAATAAGTTTGAGAACAAGCAGAAGTTGAAACTGAAGAAAGGAGACAGCTTTGTATGTGGGGAAGCTAGTAATTAAGCCAACACCACGAGCAAAGGTGATTAAAGAAACTTACATAACTATCATTGCAAAGTTAACTTATTTGGAAATGAGGACTGATAAGCTATGTTTTAAATCCTATGACCAGTGGAGGATGGATAATAGTGCTATCTCTATGGGTGATTCTTGAAGTCTTAATCATAAGAAATACGGTTCAATCAGGATACTTCCTCATTTGTGAAAAAAATCATAGTGACAAATGTAAATTATATGCTAAGATTATGAAAAATATCATTTCATAAAATATAAAGAGTTTTTGGTATATATGGCTCATTACATTTAATTTATTGGAATTATAATTTTGTGTTTGAATTTCCTTTAAACATGATTATAATGATGTCGAAATAAAATTCATTGTATCCTACATATCATTTCTTGTGCTTGTAGATTTCCAATGGGGGTTGTCAATTGTCTCAAAGACACTGGATTTTTTATGTGCCTCTACTCTAAGTTCATGGTAAAACCATCATTTTTTGTGCTTTATTTACTTTAATCAACAAACCTAATAAATACCATATTCCCTCACCAAGCTACAACCATGAAAAAACTCCAGTTTGTCAATAAGGAAGAAAATCAATTACATAACACAATCAATAAAACTATTATGAACGGGAAAAACAAATAAAAAATAACAAATGGAGAGAGAGTAAGAGTGAGACAGATATACAACATTCTTTAGAAAAAACAGGTCACCAAGATGCAAAGTAACAGTGCAGTTCCTCAAAGGGGAAAAATTAATACAAATTAGAAAGTGAGACAATTAAACAATGAAGTGAGAGAGAGAAGGAATAAACCACATTCATATCATGAAAAAAAGAAACACCCACTTGCAACCCACAAAAATCGCAATTAAAAAAATGTAAGGAAAATGAAGAGAGAGATATTCGCTTACCGAACAGCAAGATTGGTAATATAAACGACTGAAGGGGTGTTCTCTTGGAACAGGCGAACAGTGGCGAGCTCATCAGACTGCAGTTTGCGAGCAGGTGTCACCACGAAAGCAGCAGATGGGTCTACATTTCCAACCAGCACACTCAAGGCTAGAGCGAGAGAGGCCCATTGGACAACAACAGGCTGCAAATTCTTGAGAGAGAAACTTAACAACCTGTCTAATACAAACCCACAAAGCCCAGAGTGCTCAAGAAGTTTAGACCTGTTATTATTGGTGAAGGTAGTGGGGGAGCTTGCCGAGAGAGAGGCTGAAATGGGTTTTGGAGGGCGAAGAGATTTGTAGTGAGAGAAATTGAGGAGAGGGAGAGGGGTGGGTTTGTTGGGTTTAGAGGAGAGAGAGAGAAAGTGGGAAGAGGAAATGAGAGGAGAGGCAGCCATGCCTGCCTTCCTGACAGGTGCTGAGAAGGGATTGATTGTGGCGTAGATTAAATACTCGTAAGATATGGAGGTTCTTCTTTATTCCAGTTAGTATATATATTTTACCTTTCTTTGTCTTGAGTTTATGCATATATTTTGTTGTTGAATATTCTAGGGTTCATCAACCAAGCAATCCCCGCCCCCTTGGTCTCTCACCATATTGTTGGGCTATGTTTTGAATATTCTAGGGCACCACCGTTACGCAATGTTTGTAGAGCAATGCTGGCAAGCCTTTCTCGAGAGCGGGCCGGGCCTTGCTTGGCCCATACAGGCCTTATTTCCCTGTTTGGGCAAGGGCTATCTAGGTCGGGCCAGGCCGGGTGAACAAAATAGGGCTGGCCGGGCCCGGGCCGAACCTGGCCTTGCCTCTCTTGCCTTGGCGTAGACCCAATCTTTAGGTCACATTTTCTTGCCCAAACTGTAGGCTTTTAGGGCCGGGCTAGGCCACCCTATCGTTGGGTCGGGTCCATCCAAACCAAGACCAAGACCTAAAAGAAACTTATTAGATCCAAACACGATTGGACCCAACCTAAAAATAAAAATATATATTTTAATATATTTGAATATTAGGTTAAATATCTAATTATATTATTTTAATAGTATAACATAAAATATATTTATATTCATTTAAATACTATTTTAAAATAAAGGCAATGATTTCATGCAACAGTTGTATCATAGTAGGATGCAACCACACTTTTAGAAAACAACTATATTTGCAGTATTTGTATGACTTAAAATTTTACGCACACACTCTCTTCATCTCAATGATCGATCTAAAAAAAAAAAAATCAATTTGAATCCTAGATATTGTCAAAATGAGTCCCCCTCCAACAACGAATCTAGACTACTCATTTGGTGAATTTCAAGATCTTAGCCTTTATAAATTCAAAATCATTTTATTCTCTTTTAACATTGTTCATCTAAGGATAATAAAGTCATTTAAAAAAATTGAAAAAAAAAAAACTTCTAAGGCCTAGATCTAAGTATCTCACCAAAATGGATGGCCTATGTTAATTGGGCTAAAAAAATACTTTCTAGATTATGTTTTCAAATTTTTCTTGTTTTGGAATTGTTCATTCGAATGAAAATATTGTATATTTCAAATTTTGAATCAAACAAACCACCCTAATATGGTTTTTGAAAGTTGTTGCATCATATTAATATACAATCGTTGCGTAAGATCACTATCCAATAAATAATAACACTATTGGGGTCGGGTCCACATGGACCCAGACTCAACCCGTTGGGTTAAATTTTTGGATCCATACCCAGACCCAGGTCGCGTCCGGGTCCATTGCCACCGCTATCTCTAGTGTCTCTCTTATAAAGCAATTTTGCGAGCCCTCTCTCTCTCTCTCTCAAAAGTTCATAGGAATTCTAGGAACTATGTTCTTCTATATGCTACTGTTGTCTCTCGCTTTCTCTGATTAGTTCATAGGGATTCTAGGAATTATGCTCTTCCATATGCTACTGATTTTTTTTTACCAATCTCTTCTATATGCTACTGTTATATGTACTCTACATTGCTCACAGGAATATGGTACGTTACACTTTTATATTCTACACACTATATGGATCCAAAGCTTCGTAGCTTAGATGTTCAAGTATTTTCCCTATTGATTTGAGGGTGGACCAATAATGTAGTAAGCAAGGTTTGTTTTGCATCTTATACGTAAAATTTTTCAATGTTTCTTGTATTTATCTGTTTTTTCTTATGATTCTCAGTTTGATACTTTCAAGTATTTTCAAGAAGAAAACTGGGCCGGCCGTCTGAATGTGTATGATGCATTTATGAAGTGCAACAGCAGTCTCACGAAAACATTTTTTTTGGACGTTGTAGATTTGACACATCTTTCGAGACAATATGTATACATAATACATATTCTAAAATAGTATCTAATTTACACCGTCCAAATAAAATAGATAACGTAGATTATTGCAACCTCATTTCAAGGAATAAGATTACAACCTTCTATAAAAAAAATTTATTGTATTAATCATAAGGATGTGGTTTGCATAAAACTAAGGCCCTAATGAATCAAAATACGGCACACTGCCAAAACATGTTGTTTTAATTAAGAAATCTTTGTGATGGCCTAAGAAAATATTTTCATCTCTAATTATAAATTTTGAAAATTAAAAAATAGTATAAGATCGAGCACATCTATGAACACTTGAAAATCATAAAAATTGACAATCTTCTAATACATTACACGGAGCACTATTTCTAAGATTTTGAAATCTACGTTTTCTCATCTTCATATATATCTTGAAGTTGAGGTGATCAAAGTGAGGCATCAAAACAACATCTTTTAGTGATTTTTTGAGGTACACCTTAATTTGATTGTATAAGGCCTCACCCATATATAAACATATTTCTAATCATAACCATGACGATACATTAGCCGTATAGAGGATGATGGTGAAGGATGGTTTTTTGACGGAGATTAGGATAGAGAAAACAGTGGAAGAGGGTGGAGTTGTTTTCACCTCTCCTCAGGTAAGTTCTGTTTGTCATACAGAATGGGAGTCTCTTGAGATTAAAATGGAGCTACTTGTTACTGGCTCCTTCTCCCCGCCCATTAAGATTTAATTGGTCTTTATGAATGGGCCCAGCGTGGGTGGGAACTGCCATATCGCCCAGATATCAAGATCATTGGCTCAAACAAAGTGGTTTTCAAGCTTCGATCCAAGGAGGATATTAGTAGAGCACTTTCAAATCGGTTTTGCAGAGTCAGAGGCAGTCTGCTATCATTGGATTTATGGAAGGCCTCGGATCATGCTTCATTTTGGGAGAAGAGGTCGGTTTGGATCAAATTGTCGGGTCTACCTTCATCTGCTTGGAATCTAGCTATTATTAAAAAAATAGCGGGTTCTTTTGGCATTTATAGGGATCTGGATTGGAATCCCTTTCTCAATCATTTGTGTCATTTCATTCGTGTTAAAATGGATATTAGTGCGAAGATGCAGATATTGGGTAGGATATTCCTCAGTATTAAACAAAGATTTTTTTGAAATATCCATTACAGACGATGCTAACTCTTTGTTTTCCGTGGGTATTGAGGAGGGAAAACGGGATGGAGGTGAGAGTCTGGGTTCTCAAATCAGCCAGATAAACAGTCGGAAAAATTAAACGGGCCAATTTCCAGTAACCCTAAACAGAGAGTGCGATCACGAAAAGGCCCAAATCATAGGAATGGAAGGAATTTCAAATTTCAAATTTTTGAAAAGCCAAAGTTTGGGAAGCATTGGATTGAAATTGGGAGGTTTTCGGAATCAACGAAAGGTTTCTCGGAACAGTTTTGTAAGCAGCCTAATCTGATTTTAGAAGATTATGATAATGGCAACGGATTTTATGGAGAGGCAACTACCGGAAAGGGTAATGCTAATGAAGGATCAGCGTTTCCCCTTGGTAGTCGGGCAGGTGCATCACCTTTCCGTATTGGGAAGTTATCCAAAGATGTGAATAGGGCGGTAGAAGATAGTACCGATATAGATGAGGGAAGGATTCAGGACATTGTGTGCCTAAACGTGAATTGTACTCCTTCCCAAGACCCCAAATCTTTTGTGGCAGTCAAATCGTTTTCCTTAGTGCATCTTTGGCAGGAGGCAGAGCTCAAATTCCACCTACTACTTACTCTTACGACCTTAGCTGGTCTGGTGTGTCTTCTTGTGCAGCGAAGAATCATTCTCAGGGGTGCGAAGTTGAAAGCTGTTGCACTTGTTCTTAGTCTACTCCTTAAACCCAAGATGCACTCGTTGCTCAATCGTATTGTTGTTGCAAAAGTAGAGGGAAAAAAACTTGGTCCGTTTTGATCCCTTACTAATTGATCCCGTGGATATCGTGATTATTGAAGTCGAACCTTTGATGGTTTCTTCACCTTTCCAAACCAATGAATCTTGGTTATGTGAGAATGCTGCGGGGTTGCGATGGTGACCTCTGTTTCGAGGAAGTGGAACCTTTGGAGGTGGTTCCTCTTGGGATACAAGTCGAGCCCCTATGTTTCTGGAAAATGGATGTTGTGCCTTCGGCTGAGGAGAAGCAGGCTCCAGACGACTCGTTAGTGGTGGAGAAATTGATGATAGATATGGGGATGGATGACTTGCCGCTTGCTGTAGTGATGGAAGGGATTACGGCGAGGCGCCGAGCTAGGGCCTCTAACTGTGCTAAAGGAGAAGGTTCACCGAAGTCGGCATCCAAAAGGCCTGTGAATGGTACTGATAAGGGCAAGAAGAAGAATGACAAGATGATCAACAGAATGACAAGATGATCAGCTATGCTCGTGATACGCGATCATCAACAAGACTCCAAGCTAGGGAAGTTATCTAAAAGGATCCACTGGCAGCAATCATCTTTCGGGATGACACAGTGGTAAATGTCGATACTGTGTCTAGCTCCTCCAATGACGAAGATCAAGCGAAGGTTTTGATGAAAAAGGAGAACTCTTCTTTTGGTCCTGACGGGTAGGTTCCTCCTCTTACCCCCCTCTTCTGTGATGAATTTTATTTCCTGGAATGTTTGAGGCTTGGGTAGTCAGTTTAGGAAGAGGGATGTTCTTTTTATTGTTTCTAAATTTAAACCTGTGCTTTTGTTTCTTCAAGAAACAAAGCTCCCTAGTCCTGATGTTTCTGGGGCTAAGGAGATTTGGGGTAGTAGTTTAGTAGCTTTTGATGGTATTGATGCGTGTGGAGCTTCTGGTGGCTTGTGGGTCTTATGGGATCCTACAGTCCTCCAAAATTTTGTCACCTGACTCATTTTTGCTTTTGGGTTTTTGTGGTCTTAAAGTGGGCTTTAAATGGGGTATTGTCAATGTTTATGGACCTTCATGTTTGGCGTTAAAAGAAGGTTTTCAATCTGAGCTTAGTTCTATTATTCTTTCTTTTGGCTTTTTTGTTATTGTGGGTGGGGATTTTAATCTAATTAGGTGGCCGGATGAGTGTTTGTCGATAAACCCAATTAATTCTTTTATGATGTGGTTTAACAATTTCATAGAGAGCAACTCTTTCATGGATCCCCCTATTATTGGTGCCAAATTTACATGGTCC